CAGAATCGTAAATGTCTTTTTCATAAACCAAAATTAGCCAGTGATTAATTTCACAAAGGCGTAGGAAGATATCAGCTGACATATGATACTACATTTATTGCAGCGGGGCTTGTTAGTAAGCAATCTCTTAACATGCACATGTATCAATAAGGCTGCTTAATTTAACGATACATTTAATGAAGCGACCAATGTGCCTTCTGCATCAGTGTAGTACAAGAGCTTTAGTTTAAACACGCCAAATCCTGGACTGGTTGGGACTTCAATTAATCTCAACAGGCCTGTAAACTATTTCGTGTATTCTGTCTGAACAAAACAAAAATATACAAAAGAAGCCAACCTTTGTGAAAAGGAAATTTCAACAAAGCGAAGATATAAGGCGTCACGGTGCCAGGTTGAACGTTGCCACACAGTTTGTGGGCACATTTTTCGTTGGGAAAGTGCTCATACTGCTCTTTCGCTTAACAGAGTGTAAACTCGTAAAAGCATAGTAAAGTAGTTACACTTTACCACGGCTCATTCGCTTATCAATGTTGAGAATTGGTATGGCCAGTGGGGGAAAACATGTTTCAGATGGTTGGTCCAAATGTGTAAACAAAAATTATACGCAACATATTTTGTAAAATATTTGATTTAAATAACTACCGTTGCTTGTTTATGACTAACCTGTTACAATTGCTTTTTTAATCATTGTTAATAGCAATAGTTTAAAATGTATTTGAAATATATTTTTGGAACCTGGTTACTAGTTTCCGAAGACGAGGTAATTTCTCATTGGCTGTTGCTGTCCAACAAATGACATTGCAGCAAGTATGTTGCTGACAAATATCTATCGCTTATTTATCCAGCATGATCACCTCGCAAGTATGTTGGGTTTTCGCCAGGAAAACTGGTTTCCCTCCATTTCAAGCCAAACTAAAACAAAAGTAAAAAAAATTGGCCAAATATCCTGAAGCTGGACCGTTTGGAAAAAGTGTTGAGACTCAGCGAGGTTTTGCTGGGTAAATAAAGCACATTGTTATCGATTATACTTTCGATAAGACATTCTTACTGTACGTTTTATTTTTCTATTTTTTTTTTTCCTGTAATTGTTTTGAGAAAATCCAGCTCTTTAAAAAATGAATTTTTATTAAACAATCTTTGAAGAAAAAAACCCACGGCATCCCATTTTGTTGAAACCTTTTAATCATGTGAATGTAAATGTGAAGCCGTTTTGTCAGTCCACTTTGGGATGAGGTCCTCTCCTTGCCATGCAAGTTGTCGAGGCTATTCCACGCAAAACTTCGCAATTATCACAGCCTCATATCATCATGACAGGGCACGGCCTCTGGAACATGATATTTCAAGCGAGGGTTATCTTTAACGGGCCTCACCAACAACAGCTCACCTTCAAGTTTCCACGAAGGGTGGTTTGCCATGTGTCAGTCGTCCGATTTTATTTACATTCACAAATCTGCCTGCCACCTGGTGATGCCAGTTGCAATTACTGGCGAAACGTCGTACTCAGATTGTGAATGTTGTGTATTTGCTCTCCAACACACCGATGTGTTGTACTAGGAACGAATTGGCATGTTCTGTTTGTGCGACAAACCTTACTTATTGGCTGTGTCGGGTGGTGATGGGTTTAACGACAGATTTATATTTATGCGATCTAACCCACAAACAAACCCGATATTATGGTTGTTACATTATGCCTGCAGTGTGACCAAATTAAGCGGGAAGTTAATCAATGTTCTGGTTTTGTGGGGTTATTGGTGCTGAAACCCAGAATCGCAATGGCTCTGGCACCGTCACGATGAAGCCCCTAACATAGAAACATAGGCGACGTTGAGGGTAATGTACTTTTATACACCGGCACTCGATGGTCTGAAGGGTGTGCGGCTTCGAACGTGGCAAACAAAAAACATCATTGAGGACCCGACCGTGTAAGTGCCGCGATTCTTTCTCTCACGGCGTCCTGTGGACCACACTGACGCAGGACGGGAGATGTGCGTACACGTTCCATGAATGAGAAATCAAAGACTCACCAATCTGCGACTGTGGTAAAGCCCAAACCATCAAACACATCACCGACGAGTGCGCCATCCATGCACACCCTGGCGGTATCGCAGCATCTACTGCCGCCTTGGATTGGTTGAAGGACATTCACATTCAACTATGTCATCTATATACACACTGCCATACAAAAGAAAAATGTTTGCCACCTCCAACCCACACTAACCAACGCACGGAGAGGCCATAATCCAGCAGTGGATTAACAAAACGCCCGTACGTGTACATGACATAGAGACGCGTAGACCCTCTGCGCAATGCCAGGGTCTCGGTAGTGCTCGTTCATTGTGACTTTTCCATTATCAACCTGACATGGCCATTATAAACCCAGTGAAAGAGAGAGAAATCGTAGATCATGGGGCTTTAGCCAGGACTTACCGATGGCTCATTGTCTCCGACACCTGATATTGCAGCAAGGATTTAGAACTCATTTCTTTAAAACAATAAAACTAAACATAAAAACACGTGGGTGTTTTTTTTTCCTGTTATGCAATCATTCACTCGGTGAATTCCTTGTGAAATGTTGGCACGCAGATGTAAAAAAACATAATTATGTAATTTGCTTATCAAAAGCTATAATTTCATGAGATTGGCCCTGTCACATACACTGAAACCAGCATTGTAGATGGCTTGAGTTCAAGCTGGACCTGGATGTCTGGGGAATCATAATGACCATGTCTGAGAAATTGAGGTACATAGCAGCGCTGAGTTCCTAAATTACAACTCTTGGTCTGAGTGTCTCTTCATGGGGTTCATCATGGTCATCTTTGGTACACAGCCAACGCCATTATGGTTTCACGCTCTTCATACCCTTGTCTTGATAAAGCTATTACGATTACAATAACGTTCATAATTATAAATAAATGCTCTAATAAGGCTTTACTGGTTAATTGGCGTGAACCTTGTAGTGCTTTGGCTGGGAAAGAGTTCTGCTAAACAACAGGGTGCTTAAGCGGTGGCCGCGTGGCTCATGGGTCAGAGTGCCGAGTCGCCACTTCTAAGATCCTGGGTTTAAATGTGAATTTCTCAAGTGTAGTGAGACGATGGACTCAGCCCAGCCACGAATGACTGAACCAAAAAGCCATCGTGGCAAAATTGGTCTTGCACTTAAGTTGGCAAAATTCCAGCTCTGAGAATACACATATTCTTAGGTTTTTTCGGTAAAGTCACGTAGGTAAAACATTTCAATTAATAAAAGTAAAAAATATCAAAATCACGACGTTTCGGAGGCAACACAAGCTTCCGTCTTCAGGTGGAACCGTCACAGCCACGACAGCTGTATCAAGTAAATGAGAGATTGCAAAAGCTACCACTCCGTATATATAATGGTTGGAGAGGGGGGAAGGGCCAAGAACGGCACACTTTTTATTCATATGGTAAGGTGAGGCTTAAGAGGGTGAGCCTTTGTTATGGAGAGGTACGGTTTGTGACTAAACATGGTAAAACAAGCCTGGCTGTCTATCAATAACCTGTAATAGTTGTCTGTCAAATAAGATTGGCCAAATAAGTGTAGTTAAATCTTTTTTGCATGGTTAATCACATCTTTCACTTGAAAATATCTCAGAAGTAGCTCGGTGTTATCCACTTCTGTCGGTCGTTTTTTTGCATAGCCACCCCGCAATATTTCTGAATGAATTCTTCATCTCACGACACGACGCACTGGAACACTTGGGGTAAAATACAAAAGCATAAACGGGGCTCGGTAAATGACAATTAGTGCACGTGCAATTTGATACTGTACACTGTTTTGTCCGCTTTAGGATTGATATTAATTGACGAATAAGTGAATGAACGTTCCCATTGTTATTATTAAACTCCTCACAAAGTAGCGTATCACCGCCATTCAAGATATATCAATTCATGTTTTGCAGAGGTTCGTAGTTTAAGCCCAGCAGCCACCCTGGTTAATAATACTCTGGAAATATTAACCACAAACACGCACATTCTGCTTCAAAGCGGACGTCAAAGATCTTGAGACTTGATCCAAAAAGACACACCGGTGTGCTGCTGTATTAGTATTAGGAACGAATTGGCATGTGCCCTAGCAAGTATGGCAGAGCATAATTTATTTATTAAAAGATGCAAAATATGGAACGCTTCACGAATTTGCGTGTCATCCTTGCGCAGGGGCCATGCTAATCTTCTCTGTATCGTTCCAATTTTAGTATATGTACTGCCGGAGCAAGTACAGAACACACTAGTGTCGCGACGTGTATTTATAGTACCGCGGCCTGTATGCGCTTTACGCTATGGGCCCCACAAAAATGTGTGTTATTTTAAATAAATTACTAATAATCGAGCTCATACACATTGTAAACTATTATATTGTAGTTATTGTTTTTTAAAGATCATCACAGTTTGCGCGTCTAAAATGTGCTTATTGAGCATATGTTTGTTCGGATTATAGTTTAGTTTTTTCAGCCCCAGTGCATTGTGGGATCGAAAAACCGGGGCGGCCTCTCACTGCGCTGGATGTGTGTGGAGGTTGATGGAGGCGGTGGGGGGGGGTCACGTGAGTCTCTGCTGTTCGTTCTGCACGTGGTGAAGATTCACGTCTGCGACTGGGAGAGACAAAGGCGGCGGCCGAGAGCTGGGAACGGCGTTCTCATTATTCTCAGGCGCGGTCACACAGCCGGTCCCACGATAGATTTGCATCTTCAACATATAAACGCCTCGCTTCCTCTGTGATGAACGCTACATTTCCCGTCGTCTTCACGCAGGGGGCGCCTGGGTTTGAACGACGGAGGCGCACGGACAGACGTTCGATTACGTAGGAATCGATCTGCAGAACGATGAGATTCGGTGTTGATTCTCGGAATCGACTGGGCCTCCAGGCGATGTTGAACAATCCTTGCCAGGACCATTCCCGGCAAACTGAGGAGTGAGATGCCCCTGTAGTTGTTACAGTCTGTGCGGTCTCCCTTCTTAAAGAGGGGGACAACCAGGGCATCCTTCCAATCCTGCGGAACCCGTCCAGTGGTCCAGACTGTTGTTATGATGTCGTGTAGGGCAGTCTGTGCACAAACGCCACCCTCCCTCAGCATTTCGCTTGGGAGATCATCTCTGCCCGGTGCCTTTCCTGGTCTCAGACTCTGGATCGCCCTCAGTACTTCCTCAACAGATGGCACCTCAGCCAGCCACTCGCAGGGGATGACTCCCTCCTCCAATGCTTGAGGCACCGCAGCCTCAGCAGGGCCATCCCCACTTTGTCCCACGTTGTTTTCCTGGCTGAGGGATTTCCCCTCCCCTAGGACCTCACAGAAATGCTCAGCAAATCTGCAAACCTGTCCCTGGGGGTCAGAGATTGGATCACCGTTCTTTCCCCTAATGATGGTAATAGGTGTGGCACTGCAGGTTACTTTTTTGATGGGATTAAAGAGGCAGACTCCATCTCCTGAGCAACCCGCGACCACCACCCATCATCCTTGCAGCGCCTCACGGCTCTCCGAACGAAGGCTGCGGTAAGCCTCCTCATTCTCCGACGTGGGATGCTGTAGCCCATGAGACAACACACACAGCATTACACAGACAACACACACAGCGTTACACATACAACTGTCACACACAACATTACACAAACATAATATAGGTTTTTGGGTCAGATCGCGTTATTTATAAATGTGTCGTAACCCTCCACCACCCGACACGGCCAAACAGTAAAAAAGTGTCACTTTTCAAAGGACAAATTAATTGACTTATTTAGCCCACCGGTGTGCTGAACACAGGGATGTGTTCTTGGATCTTTCGGTAAAGTCACGTAGAAGGGAAATAACAAAATAATAAAACAAATTAACATAACATTCTCACGACGTTTCGGCCACAACACAAGCAGCCGTGGAGGAATGTGAATTAAAAGTTGGCAAAATATGGAACGCTTCACGAATTTGCGTGTCATCCTTGCGCAGGGGCCATGCTAATCTTCTCTGTATCGTTCCAATTTTAGTATATGTACTGCCGGAGCAAGTACAGAACACACTAGTGTCGCGACGGGTATTTATAGTACCGCGACCTGTATGCGCTTTACTTTATGGGCCCCACAAAAATGTGTGTTATTTTATATAATTTACTAAGAATAGTGCTCATACGTATTTTAAACTAATATTTTAGTTATTGTTTTTTAAAGATAATCACAGTTTGCGGGTCTAAAATGTGCTTATTGAGCATATGTTTGTTAGGATTAAAGTTTAGTTTTTTTCAGCCCAGTGCATTGTGGGAACGAAAACCGTTGCGGCCTCTCACTGCGCTGCATGTGTGTGGAGGTTGATGGAGGCGGTGGGGGGGGTCACGTGAGTCTCTGCTGTTCGTTCTGCACGTGGCGAAGAGGAATGTCGGCGGCTGGGAGAGACAAAGGCGGCGGCCGAGAGCTGGGAACGGCGTTCTCATTATTCTCAGGCGCGGTCACACAGCCGGTCCCACGATAGATTTACATTTCGGTATATGAGCTAAATTGTCCTGTTAGCAGGACGACACATCAACACCAAAGAACCCCGCGTATCGTCTTAACAGACTGCTGTTAGCGAGCACCTATGAAGGCCGGTACGGTACACGAGGGGGTGGGTGGCCAGCACCACGCCCGACCGCCTTTGTCTCCCTAGTGGCGATGTCTACACACCGCACCAGGTACTCATTTGAGGCTGAGTCGACCTAGGGGAGGCCCGGGACCGGTTCAGATAATCGTCACTGGTGTTGGCCGGGAGCGGGAATTGAACCCGGGTCGCCAGGTTCATAGCGCACCGCTCCCCAGACACACACAGCATTACACAGCATTACACAGACACACAGCACAGCATTACACACACACACAGCACACACAGCATTACACAGACACACAGCACACAGCATTACACAGACACAGCAGACACAGCATTACACACACAGCATTACACACACACAAAGCACACACAGCATTACACACACACAAAGCACACACAGCATTACACACACACAAAGCACACACAGCATTACACACACACAGCACACACAGCATTACACACACACAGCACACACAGCATTACACAGACACACAGCACACACAGCATTACACAGACACAGCATTACACAGACACAGCATTACACACACACAGCATTACACACACAAAGCACACACAGCATTACACACACACACAGCACACACAGCATTACACAGACACACAGCACACACAGCATTACACAGACACAGCATTACACACACAAAGCACACACAGCATTACACACACACACAAAGCACACACAGCATTACACACACACAAAGCACACACAGCATTACACACACACAAAGCACACACAGCATTACACAGACACACAGCACACACAGCATTACACAGACACACAGCACACACAGCATTACACAGACACAGCATTACACACAGCATTACACAGACACAGCATTACACACAGCATTACACAGACACAGCATTACACACACACAGCATTACACACACAAAGCACACACAGCATTACACACACACAGCACACACAGCATTACACAGACACACAGCACACACAGCATTACACAGACACACAGCACACAGCATTACACAGACACACAGCACACACAGCATTACACAGACACACAGCACACACAGCATTACACAGACACAGCATTACACACACACAGCACACACAGCATTACACACACCCAGCACACACAGCATTACACAGACACACAGCACACACAGCATTACACAGACACCCAGCACACACAGCATTACACATGAACACCGGTCCTGGAGGCTCAGCGTTTGAGCGAGCGTCATCTCGCAGTCAGAAGGTTGTGAGTTCAATTCAGACCATTAACATGCGAAGCACCAACAACCACGCAATTTCCCAGGGGAGTCATTGAAATAATAATATAACAAATCTGCCTGTTGCCTGATGAAGCTAGTTGTAATTACTGGCAAAACGTCGCACTCAGATTGTAAATGTTGTGGCTTTGCTCTCCCACACAGCGGTGTGCAGTAAAAAAAGTGTCACTTTTCAAAGGACAAATTAATTGACTTCTTTAGCCCACCGGTGTGCTGAACACAGGGATGTGTTTTTTGGATCTTTCGGTAAAGTCACGTAGAAAGGAAATAATAAAATAATAAATATTAAACATAATAACATTCTCACGACGTCTCGGCCGCAACACACGCAGCCGTCCAGGAATGTGAATTAAAAGTTGGCAAAATATGGAACGCTTCACGAATTTGCGTGTCATCCTTGCGCAGAGGCCATGCTAATCTTCTCTGTATCGTTCCAATTTTAGTATATGTACTGCCGGAGCAAGTACAAAACACACTAGTGTCGCGACGGCTATTTATAGTACCGCGGCCAGAACATGCTTTACACTATGGGCCCCACATAAACTTGTGTTATTTTATTTTAAATAAATTACTAACAATCGTACTCATACACATTTGAAACTAATGTTATTGTTATCAAGAATAATCACAGTTTTCGCGTCTAAACTGTGCTTATTGAGCATATTTTTGTTTGGATTTTAACTCTCGTTTTTCCAGCCCCAGTGCATTGTGGGATTGCAAAAACCGGGGCGGCCTCTCACTGCGCTGGACGTGTGTGGAGGTTGATGGTGGCGGTGGGGGGGGTCACTTGAGTCTCTGCTGTTCGTTCTTCACGTGGCGAAGATGAATGTCGGCGGCTGGGAGAGACAAAGGCGGCGGCCGAGAGGTGACGCCGGTCGTGAGGGAGTCCCACGGGACCGGTTCAGATAATCGCTGTCACCGGTGGCGTTGGCCGTGAGCGGGAATCTAACTCGGGTGGCGGGGTTCGTAACAGCACAGCTCGCTTGCCGCTGCACGACACACACAGCATTACACACACACACACAGCATTACACACACACACACACAGCATTACAGAGACACAGCATTACACACACACACACCATTACACACACACAGCATTACACACACACAGCATTACACAGACACACACATGACCAACACAACCCCCAGACAATGTCCACGACCCAACACCCGTAAACAATGTCACAACCCACGAGCAACCGGCAGCACAGTCCGGCTCGTGTGTGCGATCTCCAACGGCGTAGGGATCAATAAGACGGGAAAGGGTCATTTCACCGGGCGTACTTGAAGACCGCCTAACGGGTGCGGCCCCTCCAGGGAAGAAGACCAACGGGAGGAGAAGTGGGTGACGGCTGCTCCACTCGACCCCAATCCACAACCTGTCGGCGCAACCGGCAACTCCAAGGGTACCAGGCGCTGGAATCCTGGGGGCGGAAAACCTGAATCTTCTCAGGCACGACATCCGTGGACACAAGCCCCAGCTCTTGGTTCTTTCGGTAAAGTCATCACGTAGAAGGGAAGTAATAAAATAATAAAAATAAAACATAGTAAAAGAATTTTCACGACGTTTTGGCCACAACGCAAGCAGCCGTCCTCAGGTGAAGAACATGTCTGTCGATAAGACAGAGTCTAAATGACACGTCTTAGGCTTGGAGTGTATTTAAGCTGTGAGGGAGGAGGAAGAGAGCCTTGACAAAAGAATTTGCATGTTTTATTTGTATTATTTTATTACTTCCCTTCTACGTGACTTTACCGAAAGAACCAAGAAGATGAATCCCTGCAGTCACGAAAGCTTTAAATCGAAATTTAAACGCCCCAGTTCGTTGGACAACATCAGCCACCCGGCCCTTGGGTAGTGGAGATGAAGGGATCCCACCCCGGCAGGATAACAACGGTTTCAGTCGTGACGGATGCACAGCAAACGATCAGACTGGATACACACACACCCATCGACAAAACATGGATGTCAGGGTCCCCTGCCACCGTGCAACCATCACATCAATTAGTTAGTTGGTGATAGGGCGAAGTCTAAACCTTATAAGTGCCCATCCAATCACACACCTCCCTCAACAATCAGGTGGTGATGGGGCGACGTATGAACCTTCAAGTGCCCATCAAATCACACACCTCTTAAGTACAGTTTGGACGTCTTCCGGCATCCCGGGCCAAAGAAGTCGTGCTTCAAGGTCGACCCATGTACCGGGTCAAGGAAGACACGCTTCAAGGTCAACTCAGTATGCTGCACCTCAAGGTGCAGCAACCGTTAGTCTGCAGCCCCTATACTTTGCCCCACAGAACGGCGGGTACCACAAAGTTATATCGTTGCAATTTTCCATTCCACACATCAGCAGCCCTACCTTGAGGACCACTAGGGACATTTCTTGTCGCCCTTTACCACAACGGGGTAACTACATAACCGGGTCCGTCAGTAAAACACTGCCTGACGCACGATGCCGAGTGTAAAGACCGAGGATCGAAGAGACGTAGCACTGATGGGGTCCATTCCAACAGACAGCCGTAATTGATTTCAGGACTTCCCTTTTATGCTCCTGAGAGTGGCCTCGCTCCGCCTTCGGGTACACCCTCTTCTGGATCTTACCAGAAGGTTCTCGACCAAGCATCACGAGTCCCTCAAGCCACCCTTTGGGCCCCCTCGCTACCCTTCACGTGCCCTCTCGGGTTCATCCAGAATGTCACGTCCTTACTTGACCTCTCTCTGACCGTCACCAGAACCATGCCCCTTGGGGTCCACTTCCATGCCATACTGTGCTCAAGATGCACAGTCCCACTCTTGTGACAGTAGCTGGCGATAAACGACATAGTCACTCCATTTACGTCACGACACGAGAAACGAATTGGCATGTGCCCTAGCAATTTATTATGGAGCATAATAAATTGAATAAAAGGTGAAAAATATGGAACGCTTCACGAATTTGCGTGTCATCCTTGCGCAGGGGCCATGCTAATCTTCTCTGTATCGTTCCAATTTTAGTATATGTACTGCCGGAGCAAATACAGAGCACACTCGTGTCGCGACGGGTATTTGTAACACCAGGGTACTAACATTCTTTTCACCATGGGGCCTGTAAAAGATGTTCCAGTGTTTAAAAAGAGCAACGTGTTAACAGTGATAATCAGAAAACATTATATTCTAATATTATAAATATGTCATTGCAACTTTAATTGTATTTTACGTTAAAGAAGTGTGTTTATTGAGCACATATTTGTTGGGATTCACTGGCATGTTGTATGCCCGAGTGCATTGTGGGATACTGGAGGTGCCTTCATGGATGGCACAAAGATGTCCTGGGTCAGAGGCAGTTTGAATTTACTGACCGGTCAAAGCCGTGCTTATTTGCACATTTGGTCATTCAGCACGTAGGAAAAGTAATAAATATGCGACGTTTCGAGCACGGGCCAACGCAGTGTCACCAAAGAATGTATATATTTGACGGAGGACCACAGTGGAGTTTTGCATTCAAGGAGAAACCAACGTAGCAGGAAAACCACAAACATCAGTCTAAGGCTCAAAGATCTGCACAGACAGGTACGGGAACCTACTTGCTGTACTTCCTCACCAGCCCCCGGATCTGTGTAATGCCAACCAGCTGAAGACACTTAGTGTATCATTCGTGTAAGCAAATAAATTCAGCAACGCTTGTTTGCCATTAGGTACAGGAATATTCTTGGATCTTTTGGTAAAGTCACGTAGAAGGGAAATAATAAAATAATAAATATTAAACATAATTACATTCTCACGACGTTTCGGCCGCAACACAAGCAGACGTTCAGCAACGTTTGTTTGCCATTAGGTACAGGAATATTCTTGGATCTTTCGGTAAAGTCACGTAGAAGGGAAATAATAAAATAATAAATATTTTACGTAATAAAATGCTCACGACGTTTCGTCCGCAACACAAGCAGCCGTCCAGGAATGTGAATTAAAAGGTGAAAAATATGGAACGCTTCACGAATTTGCGTGTCATCCTTGCGCAGGGGCCATGCTAATCTTCTCTGTATCGTTCCAATTTTAGTATATGTACTGCCGGAGCAAGTACAGAACACACTCGTGTCGCGACGGGTATTTGTAACACCAGGGTACTGCATCCTTTTCACCATGGGGCCTGTAAAAGATGTTCTAGTGTTTAAAAAGAGCAACTGTGGGGGTCGCTAGCCCCCGAAATCCCTCCCTCGATAATGCTAACGGCCGGGCTAGCATCATCAATCGCCCCCCCGCTGCTAAGCGAACCGCTGCTAAGTTCCTCACCCATGGTGTGGGAGCCGTCGCCCGAGGGTTCCACTCCACCGCGGGTCCGCGTAGCAGGCATGGTTAATTACGTACGCGCACACCCACACACACAGCTCTGTACGGCACTCACTCTTGCGCTTCTCTGCGCCGCGCTGGCCGCTCACGTTACAATCGCGCACCTGGGGTACGCCGATTACGCACGCCGCGAGCTTACGCACACACAGTACCACACGCGTTCCCACACGCAACCCGCGCGCTCAGCTCCGCGCAGCGCTCACTCACGTGGCGAACCACTGTGCACACAGCGCACCCACACGCTCACACTGCACGACAAGATCACGCGAGACCACGCTTCGCTATTAATGATTTATTATATGCCACCTGCGAATTGATGTTGAATCAGTGAGTCGACGAGGCTGGCCTATTCCACTAAACCTGTACCTATTCCCTATTTATCGGCTATGATTCTAATTCCCCTTCTTACTCACTGTTAAGTGTCCACGGCGGTCCGCTGATCCTTCTGTTAACCGCGTGCCTCGGTGCGTCGCACGGACGTCCGGGTCGCTGGCTCGAGCTGCGTCTGGTCGCCTGGCGCTGGAGTAAGAGAGCGATTTCCCCTCTGCGCTCCTCTATTTATCCTCCCTACCTCCCAAAGGGGATGCTGCGCTGAACAATGGGCTCGTGCACCCCAAGCCCGCGCACGGCAGTCCCCAGGCGCTGTTGATATGCTAATCAGTGTGCTGCGTGCAAGGCGTAAATCCTAATTACTCCCTTACCCTTCCTACCAATGGGGCTTGCGCGCTCAAGCGCAATTATCCCAACCCTCCATGACTATGCGCAACAGCCCCTGTGACCCCGCTATTCATGCTGTCCCGTGCCTCCCCTGCTTGCCCCGTCGACTCGTGGGGGTGTGTGTGGGGGGAAATGCGCCTCAACCGCGGTGGCCGAATGCCCCACGCCGCGACCACACCATATTAAGGCCGGCAGCAGCGCCGCGGTACCACGTAGCACGGGGGAGGTCATCCAATTCCCTGATCGCCGGAAACCGTGAGAATTAATCCCGATAAGGGTCTCTCGGATAAAAACCGGTCGATCAGGTAACCTTCCCTTCCAGCTCTATGGGGGGGGGGGGGGGGGGATGCGTGCGGGTGTGTGCTTATGTGGGGCGGGTGATTGGGGGCAGTGCGGTGGGGGAAGCCGGGCGGCTCCCTGGCTCGGCAGAGCGGCCCCGTCGCTGTGGCACCACACAACGTGTTAGCAGTAATACTCACGAAACATTATATTATAATATTATAGATATGTCATTGCAACTTTAATTGTATTTTACGTTAAAAAAAGTGTGTTTATTGAGCACATATTTGTTGGGATGCACATGCATGTTTTATGCCCGAATGCATTGTGGGATCGAACAGGTGGGCACTCTGGAGGTGCCTTCATGGATGGCACAAAGATGTCCTGGGTCAGAGGCAGTTTGAATTTACTGACGGGTCAAAGCCGTTCTTATTTGCACATTTGTATATTCAGCACGTATGAAAAGTAATAAATATGCGACGTTTCGAGCACGGGCCAACGCAGTGTCACCAAAGAATGTATATATTTGAGGGAGGACCACAGTGGAGTTTTGCATTCAAGGAGAAACCAACGTGGCAGGAAAACCACAAACATCAGTCTAAGGCTCAAAGATCTGCACAGACAGGTACGGGAACCTACTTGCTGTACTTCCTCACCAGCCCCCGGATCTGTGTAATGCCAACCAGCTGAAATCCTGAAGACACTTAGTGTATCATTCGTGTAAGCAAATAAATTCAGCAACGCTTGTTTGCCATTAGGTACAGGAATATTCTTGGATCTTTCGGTAAAGTCACGTAGAAGGGAAATAATAAAATAATAAATGTTAAACATAATTACATTCTCACGACGTGTCGGCCGCAACACAAGCAGACGTCCAGCAACGTTTGTTTGCCATTAGGTACAGGAATATTCTAGGATCTTTCGATAAAGTCACGTAGAAGGGAAATAATAAAATAATAAATATTTTACGTAATAAAATGCTCACGACGTTTCGTCCGCAACACAAGCAGCCGTCCAGGAATGTGAATTAAAAAGTGAAAAATATGGAACGCTTCACGAATTTGCGTGTCATCCTTGCGCAGGGGCTATGCTAATCTTCTCTGTATCGTTCCAATTTTAGTATATGTACTGCCGGAGCAAGTAAAGAACACACTCGTGTCGCGACGGGTATTTGTAACACCAGGGTACTGACACCCTTTTCACCATGGGGCCTGTAAAAGATGTTCTAGTGTTTAAAAAGAGCAACGTGTTAGCAGTAATACTCACGAAACATTATATTATAATATTATAGATATGACATTGCAACTTTAATTGTATTTTACGTTAAAAAAGTGTGTTTATTGAGCACATATTTGTTGGGATGCACATGCATGTTTTATGCCCGAGTGCATTGTGGGATCGAACAGGTGGGCACTCTGGAGGTG